ATTGAGCAAGGGCTTGAGTTTTTACCTGATTATTCAGCAGGGCACCTATAAGACTGTGTTAGTGGAATTGGGGGAAAGGTCTTTGGTCTACTGTATGTGTGGAGGTAAACATTGAGAAAACCGTCCGCTTCAGGGCTAAATTTAGAGCTGGAGTCAGAGGGGGGTGTCTCCCAAGGTCACAGAGAAGCACACACAACACAGCGTTCACGCTCACACTAACACACACACACACAACACACAACACACACACACACACTCAGCAATTGAGATACAGGTCTGCCTAAACCACAGGCTTCCCTGGGGACTGGAGAGTTTGAGTCTGAAGAGGTCTTCTGTATTGTCAGGAAATGGTTTTTGTTCCAGGAGTTGTGTAATGGCACCTTTGTCTCTTCTTTAAAAGCCTCGCTCTTATGTGGCATTAGGAAGGTCTCAGATTTTCCATGGTTTAAACTGAAGTGAAAGTAGTTGAGAAAGAAATCTCACATGCATAAGAGTTTTGAAGCAAAAAAAGCTTAGATGAGCATGCTGAACATGTAATTTAACAGGCTAGAAAACATGATCATTTCACTGAGTTTATAAGAGAAGTAGTGATGCCAGCTTCAAGGACAAATCAGAATCAGTTCATGATGCTGATTTGGTTCATGAGCTCACTGACTTACTGTTAATCAGTGAATAATATCAATTCAAATTTACTTCCCAATCACACAATGCTATTGTAAAGCTCATTGCAGTTGGATGGAAAAGATTGACTGTATTATTAAAAATGTATTTTATGTTCCACAGAAGAAACAGGAGATACAAGTTTAGCATGACATGTTGGTGAGTAAATGATGACAGAACTTTCATTTTTGGGTGAACTGCTCCTTTAACCTTGATCTGTAAAAAAACACTTTGGTCTTCCCATCTGCTCATAGTGCGGGGTCAGCAAAAAAAAGAAAATAATACAAATCTGAGCCAAGAGATAGAGAGAGAAACAAAGAATAGAGCACCCATTTTTCTCTGCCTATAAAACAATGCCCTCATTTTTAATGTTCAGACTTTTCAAGACACGTTTTCTTCAGCATAAAGCTGGATATTGACAGATGTTGTCAGCTCAATGTAGCCACATATACTGTACTGCCTGTATGAAAACAGCTTTCATGTGAAATCTAAAACCAGCAGCCAAATTTCCGGCATGAGCTGACAGCATTAGCTATTGTACAACGTGATTCCCATGCAAAGTCCAAATAAAGCCGCCCTGCACCTTAACCAGAAAAAAAAGCTAGCAGCATGATGGGATAAAGATTAGTTTAGAGGAGGTCAAGAGGTGCTTGTTTTCATGCAGGATTTCGGCGAAAAATGCAGAGGGATTGTCTTGTGACGCTGTTATTTAGATGCTCATTTATCTGAACTTTGTTGGCTGAAGTCACTGTGATGTTTAGAATCATGTGATTTGGCTTTCTGAATAAGAGCCACATGCTAAGAATGCAGAAAAATAATAATTCTCTGAAAACCTCTTACAGGATTATCCAGATTATACATCTACGCACAAGTTTAATTCCCACAACAAATACTGCGTTTATGATTTGTAGCGACTGCACACACTGCAACACACTCCATTTGAATGGACTTTTTTCATAGCTACACAATGCAATGTCAATGCGATAATGACTTCCATCATGCCGGTCTGCAAATAGACAACTAAAGCTCTCATGTCACGAATTGTGATATAATCCTGGTTAAACTGTGATATAACTTCAAAATTCAGTTTAAATTCACTACAGCTGAGTGAACAAAATAAATAAATAATATTGGCTGTCTGGGCACTGTGACTGCAACAGTAAATGCTGACAATACTGATTCTCTATAAAAATGGTCACTGACAGACACATCAACAAATGCAGATAAGAACAATATCCTTGTTATCTAGGCAATAAACACAAATGCTAAAGTAAACTGGTTAATTTTAAAGGGATGGTTCATTCAAAAATGAAAATTCTGTTATTCACCCTCATGTCATTTTTTATAGATATTTTGAAGACCAAACTTGTAAAAACAATTCCGTGAAATTTACGGTAAAAAAACGGCAGCTGTGGTTGCCGGAATTTTACCGCAAAAAATATGGTAGCAGAAACTAAAATAATGCAATAAACATTCATTTAACAATATTAGGTGTAACACACAACCCTAATATACAAAACTGATAAAAAACAAACTAAGAAGAAACATAGTTATTTCAACAAAAAAACATAAAATTTGAAATGTAACGTTAACAGGTTTTTACTGTAGCATTTTTACAGTCTTTTACCGTTAAATTCACTGTCATTTTTTACAGTGTACATTGGACCCCATTGACTTTTAGTGTATGGACAAAAAAACACTTGTATCTTCTTTTGTGTTCTACAGAAGATTTTAAACGAAATGAGGGTGAGAAAATGTTTATAGATTTTAATTTTTGGATTGTACACCCCTTTAAAACCCAATACTTTACACACACTCTATTAGCTCCTCAACACTGCAAAGCATTTCAGAGCAGCATTAGGGTCGTTCAGGGGAAGATATGGATGATCTGGAAGTGTACAGGGTTAGTGGATGTGCAGTTTTCCCTTTGGGACCAACACCAGAACAGGCTGTGACAGTGACAAATGTCTACAGCAGCATTACAGACACGTAGGACAATGCTGAAACCACAGCATCCAACAACAACAGTCATCTTGTTAGCAATTACCTTTTATTGTTAGTGCTTAGCTGAAAGCCATTCTTGAGGTTCTTTGCCATTTGTAAAGCTAATATCTTTCAACAACTATTATCGATTTCATTTCGACCTTGTCAAGTGAGAGAACGTTATTTCAAGAAGGTGCCACCTTAAACGTAACAAATAAATCTTATCTGAAAAGATGAGGGAGGCTAATTCAACCGCCAAGAGTCCGCTAAAGAAGTTGTTCTGTATTTTGAGTTATTTAAAATGAGGACATCAATCTGATCTTTCTTGGTTCTTATTTCATCTTAAGGGGGCATTTCTTGAAGCTAATGAATGCAAAGTGAGTCACATCTTTCACCTTGAGGTGAGTGTTTTATGGGCGGTGTGAACTATAGGCTACTCAGCATGTTCTCCTGTAGAAATCGTTATCTGCAGCTGTAGGATATGCACATCGCTGCCTAGTTCCTTTGATTTGCAGCATTTCTCATAAACAAAGTAATGCGTGTTCATGTGTGTTCATTTAAAAGCATGGGATTTTGTACAGGCAGCACATCTTTTATCTCATGAGCTAACAATTTTGTAAAGAACTTATGTAAAGCAGCAAAAAGACAAAACTTGAGTTGTGTCTGAATATGCCAATATACTTCCCTACTATATAGTGTGCAAAAATAAAAATAGTGAGATTTAATGGACATTTTACTATCCCATGAGGCCATGGGAGAGGAGCTGTGAATGGCAGTGAAGTGATGCAACTGATGCGTTAGGTCACATGACATAGCCAATATGGCGGATATAGCATACTGCACACATATAGAATATATAGAACATACTTTTTTAGCAGATGCAAAATTCTTCACCAAATGTTGTACCTACTCAGACAGTATGCGACTTTAAATGTAGTGTTTGATTTATCATTCAGCTTTTTTAGAATATTAACTTTAGCCTATATATATTATTTCTGTGTGCTGAGGTGTTTGTCTCAGTTACAAAAAAGTACCATTGCATTAGCATGATCTTTGTGATGCTAATCCTATGGATTTTAGGACATGAACCATGGTAGTTCCATGGTATTCTCTAAAGGCCTTTGAGTACCCTACCATACATTTTTGTACTATGGGGCTATATGTCTTTGTAACTTTGCACAGAAATTTGCATGTCATAAATCAGGCAAAATAGGACAATGTCTGAAAGGGAAAGTCTAACACAGTGTCCAGTTGCTTAGTTTTGATTCTCAGTGATACCAGGCATAGGTCTGGTGTCTCTGGAGAAATTATTAACTGTTTCAAGGTGGATGAGCCAATCGTGAGTAACTTCAGCAGAGTCCATGGCAATCTGACTGTGGGTGGCAGGCTAGTCTGAAGGAAACTGCAAAGACCTCGACAACAGCAATATGTGACAAAAAAAGGGTTTGGTTGATTTCACGTGTCTTACGCTGCCTTCATGTGCTGTCTGAGTTATTGCAAATACGAGGTACCTAGTCAGAAATTGGGCCTGAATGGCCTTGCAAGCCATATTTACAACTGGGAAACTCATAGATTTTGATATCCAAGTTTCAAAGTTTAGCGGGCCATAAACTCCATGGAGGAGGAGAGAACCAACCTTTCTCTTGCCATTACAGTCATGCATATTTATGTATATAAATAACCATTTGATGCATGTTGTGTGTATTTTACACAGTGAAAGTAGCATTTATTGGACCATCAATTGCAAGATCAGGGGTGCCCTTAATCGTGCATCTAGAGGTCGGATGTACTGCAGGGTTTAGATCCAACCTGTCCAAACACACTCTCCCGGATGTGTCTAGAAATTTTGATTAGCTATTTTTGGCTGTTTTGGAGGTAAACACAAGACAGTTCCAGGAACAGGATTGGACACCCCTGATCTAGATAGTGTTTATATGGTTGCCAACAAATGGGATGCAACATTTTATTCAAAGTCTGTTGGATACTGACTAAACATCTTGTATGTAATTTGGCTTTAATAAGATTTCTCCAAGAAATAGGCAAGAATGAACTTGCCATCCTCCATGATTCCTATTCTTTCTGACAACAAAGCGCTTGAATGTGACAAACTCATAATTACAACTTCAGAAGTGGAAAGTAGGACATAAGAACATGCATAAGAATGTGCACAGTTTTTGATCAGACCCCTTAATGTTCTGTTTCTCATTTTACCATTTATCAGATCATATATTTGACTTATTAGCTAATACTAAACTGGTGACAGTGGGATAAAAATACAGCAAGGATAAATATTTCTCAGGCATAAAATCATACCTTGAGTGTTTTCATATATGTGTCATTTTGCAAGTCAGACCCACCATTCATGCCATTGTAAAGACTCCGATGGTGTGGCGACAGCTCGTCTCCTGCCAGTCTCCGCGGTGACGTCTCTCTACCAGGGCTGCCAAACTTCCCATGTTCAGGGCTCATGCTGTACTGGTGCCTCAACATCTCAGGACTACTTCCTCCCAGCTTGCTTTTGTCATGGTGGAGCTCTAACGCTCCTAGCAGCACGTGTCTAGCTTCTGGACTCCCAGGCCCACTGCCTAAGCTGCCCCTGTGCCTCTGGATGTAGAGCTCAGGACTCATGGGCTGTCCTGGAGCCAGATGGTGCTTTGGATGAGTCTCTGGACTCCGGTGGCCCAGGGATCGACCGTACTTTTCTGGACTCAGCCCTCTAATCAATCGATGGTCAGGCACAGATATGGAACCACAGCGTGGTCGGCAGGGCTGGGGCAGTACGAAGGGATACTCCAGGCTGGTGCTTCTGTGTCGGACAGGAGGGTCAGGGCTGGAGATCTCCCCCCGATCTCCTTCCCCTCCTTTCCCAGGACGAGACTTCTGAATCTCCGGGCTTTTATTCCCAGTTCCTCCACTAGACGGCGGCTGTGGCTGCTTGTGGTGTGGATGTTCAGAGCTGTCGGCACTTCCTTTGCTAGAAGTGCTGCTTCCGTCCCCCACGTCCCGCATCAAGCCAGGTACCAGAAGCCCACTCTGGCTGTCAATGGAATTGCGACATCCAATGGACCCCGTCCCACCTTGGCCTCCTTCCCCTCCACTGCCTCCTTTCTCCTCATCTATCAGCAGACAAAGTTCCCTAAGCTCCAGGTTCTCCCGAATGACCTCCTCCTGCTTGTGCTCCAGTTCTGTTAGCTTCTGAAGGTACAGTGCCACCTCCTTACGCATAACGCTGGCACTGAAGCGACCCAGACGCTGCCACTCACGCGACACTCGCTTACCCTTTTGCCGGTCATCATCCAGGAAACAGCACAGGTCTCGCAGTTCCCGATTGTCGTCCTGCAGCTTCTGGTTTACCTCCTTCATCACGATAGAGAACACACAAAAAATTGTGTTTAGCATTTTAAATGTTAAATGTTGCTATTCAAGGACAAAGAATAAAAGACATGGACATTCTGAGGCCACACAAACTATATGACATTTCTTTGATTTCATAATTCATTACAAGACTAGAGTTTAAAGTTTTGAAATGGGTTGAACAAGCCGAGCTCTCATGCATTTCTGTCATTCATCTAAGATAGAACCGTCTAAAGGTATGATCTTCTATAGGTGCCAAACATCTATCTGTCAATTAAATTAATTGATTCAACTAATCACTGACATACGTGAAAACCAATTGCATATGGCATCAATGATACCAAATTTCGCATAACATATGACGACTGAGATTAAAGAGCTTCAATATATTTGCAGTGAATGTCAACCAAGCTATTGCATTGCTTCAAAAGACTTATATAGTGCAAGTGTCATGTGGACTTTTTTAAAAGCTGGAAACAAAATAAAAATATTTATGTATTTTTTTTTACAATCTGTTCCTATAAAGGGTACATTGTGCATTTTTACATAATTGTTTTATTTATATGCAACATTCATGGTTAAAAATTGGGAAATGCTCATATTCGAACACAACAGGTGTTTAACATTACAGTTCAAATATCAAAAATATGATTCCTACTGGTATGAAAAACAAATCTAAGAATTGCTTATATAAGTGCGTTTTGTACAGTTTTTTTCTTTCATAAGCTTTTCGTTTTAATCAGAAGATAAGCATATATATACAGCAAGACAATATTCAAGGCGTTATTCCCATACAGGAAGAATGATGTGCACCTAAGTGCTTCTGGCGCATCCTCAGAGAGCGCAGGTGTGCTCCAGACACCCACGATCTCATCTGCTCACCTTCAGCCCCCGGATCTCGTTCAGATGCAGCTGGAGGCTGCGGTTCACCTCCCGAATCAGATTACTGTGATCCAGAATGGCGCTCTTTTTATCGGCTTCAGATTTTCGGAGCCGCTGCACCAGCTCCTCTTTGCTCCATTGGAGGAGCTCTTCATCCGTAAGGTTGGAGATGTCTTCTGCTGGACTTTCTGGCGCCTTGGATCCAGGCTGTGCTTGTAGAGATTGCGCTTTCTCCATCAGAAGAGGCGAGCTGCTGCTGTGATACCAGGTGCTGATAAAATATTAATGAGGCAGGCAGCATCCGCTGTGTTAGGAGGAGTCAGGGAGAGAGAGGACGCATCGTGGAGTGATGCCCGTATCCGATGCCCTTAGAGTGGGAGTCGTCTCGACTTTTCCCAAAGCAACAGCTTGATGCAGCTGACGAGTAGAAGGAAGGGCGGCATACAGAACAAGTCTGCCCAGATTATTCAGCATCGACTCCCATAGTTCTTGTAAGTTTGGAAAAGTGACGGTAATGGGTAGCCGGTGAGATATGGGTGGTTTCAAGCGGCCCGATGCGCTCGCCTCCGTCCGCCTCTGCGTGCTCCAGCATCCTCATGGAGATGGAGGAGGAGAGACAGCAGCCAGCATCCTCAGACAGAGCTCCGGAGAAATGAGCGTGACTGCAGACTGAGTAAACTCTCTCTCTCTCTCTCTCTCTCTCTCTCTCTCTCTCTCTCTCTCTCTCTCTCTGTCTGTCTGTCTGTCTGTCTCTGTCTGTCTGTGCTTGTGTGTCGAGCATGTTTGTGTGCGAGTTGCCAAGAGCTGATGCTGTTCAGAAAGCATTTAAATTTGTATCGAGCGCCATCTATGGACACATTGAGGTACTACAGATGAATAGGCTAACATTTTTCCTTCTGTTGAAACAATATGTGTCAGACATTGACGGTAAAGTATTTATGTAATTAGGGTATAATGTAGGCCATTCACTGTATACATATACGTTTGATTATACAGCTGTATATTGTCTACCTTCATTGTACATTTTGATGTAAACCCTCTTTCAGATTTTAGAGAAGTTACGTGTTTGTATGTATTTTTCTCTAACTACCAGTTCATATTGGCCTCTGAGACAGAACTCTGAAAGAGAAAAGAATATAAATATATTAACTGACATTTACATTTAGTCATTTAGCAGACGCTTTTATCCAAAGCGACTTACAAATGAGGACAATGGAAGCAATCAAAATCAACAAAAGAGCAATGATATGCAAGTTCTATAACAAATCTCAGTTAGCCTAATGCAGTACACGAAGCAAGGTTTCTTTTTCAAGGTTCAAGGTATTTTTTTATTATTATTATATAATAAAGAAAAAAGAAAAACAGATAGAATAGAAAAATAATAGCGCAAGCTAATGTTAGAGGCCTTTTTGCTTTTGATAATTGTATAATTTTTTTTTTTTAAATAGAATTAGAATAGAGAGAGCTAGAGTAAGAGGGTCAAAAAAAGATGGAAGAGATGTGTTTTTAGCCGATTCTTGAAGATGGCTAAGGACTCAGCTGCTCGGATTGAGTTGGGCAGGTCATTCCACCAGGAGGGAACAACTGAATGTAAAAGTTTTCCCAGTGAATAACTTATCATGATAAGTAATGAATTATCAGATCAGATCACTACGCTTTCCATACAACTTGAGCCTAGTCTTTGTGTCAAGAACTGAGCCCTGAGGCACCTCAGTAGTTAGATGTTGTGACTTGGACACCTCACCTCTCCAAGATACCTTGAAGGACCTATCTGAGAGGTAAGACTCAAACTACTGGAGTGCGGTTCCTGAGATACCCTTTGCCAATAGGGTTGACAGGGGGATCTGGTGGTTAACTGTGTCAAAAGCAGCGTCTGCCAGTCTTAGGGCTTCAACAACTGAGAGCAAGGCAGTCTCGGTCGAATGTCAACGTGGCAAAGACGTCAGCTGTTAGAGTTGATGAAGGAGGGGGAGAAGGAGGACAAAGGAGCGAGGGAAATGTTTTATAGAGCATGTTATAGAACACAGAGAATTGTTACTTTTGTTATGATAGTATGTCCTTTTAGCAGTGGAGACATTAGCAGAGGTGGATGTTGAAGTCTCCAAGGGGAGTACCATCCTCAGGAAAGGTTGAGAGCAGCACATCTAATTCATCCAAGAAGTTACCTTGTGGTCCTGGGGTCAATAAACAACAACAAAATGGATTTTAAAAGGGTGGGTAATAGTGACTAAATGTGATTCAAAGGAGCTGTTAATACCCAGAGAAGGTAAAGACTTAGAAGGTAAAATTGACAAATAACATGTTTTTAAAAAATTACTTTTTTGAAATTTAACTTGTGTTTTTTTTTACTTCCATTCCATTTATCCATTCATCCATTCTTTTTCATAATATCTATATCAATTTTGTCAAAAAACAGAATTCTGTAATAATTGAATGTATAGTTAATTTACATGTAGGCTATATTTTTATTTATCTTATAATAATATAATATAATACGTTATCTCGGATCAACTATATTGAGAGTATACTATATTGTTATAGTGTGTGTGTGTGTGTGTGTGTGTGTGTGTGTGTGTGTGCGTGTGCCTGCTTTCGTGCATGCGTGTGTGTGTTAGGACTCACGATCAAAGCATTGCCTTGTCAAAATATGCATAGCCTACTTTATATGTATATTAATTTGAATATTACAGCCTATATTATAATATAATATAGTATAATATAATTAATGTAGTAAAATACCTTCCTATTTAAGCATTTTTACGCCTCACAACCTGTTAAAACATTGTTTAGCCCGTTATTGAAAGTATGTGAGAAATTTGCGGTCACAGTTGTTTACGCCTGTTTTTATACAGTCTATGGTTTACGCAGAACTTATTTGCATCAAACGCTGCTATAGAAACCGCGCAGCGCATCTACGCACAGAAATTCGACTCTGCGGCGTCACGTTCCCTGACGTTAGACGGAAGCAGCCAATCGTGGCGCACGGAGTGTGTAGTAACACGTCAGTCTTCGGAGCTCCAGGAACCGGCTGGTTACGAGTCCTGCTCGACGAAGTCATTTTCACTTCCCAATGGTCGCGTGACCGCGGTTTTCATATTTAATTTACTGAAGCCTCATCGATTAAGAAGGTACGTCTATCGCTGTGTTCTAGTAATGAAATCGTGGTTCGTTGATGTGTTAGATTTAAACCCGCAGACCCCGGATTAGGTCGGCGGAAGTCAGTAAGGTTGCTGTGTGTGTACGGGCTACACGGGTGTACTTAGCAGTAAGTTATGACATTAATGTTCGGGATCTTTAAATAATATAACTGCCTTATATCTTGCTTTTCCCCGGCTCTCTTTTTCTGTGGTATATTGAGAGTGTGTTGGAATTAGCTAGCGCGAGCTTGACCAGTAAAATGTAGATATACGCGTGACGTCACGGAGATGTTCTTATTTTGACTAAAACATGTAAATAATGTAAAGTAATATATTAATGCCAATGTGTTAATACCAGTGTAATATATTTAAGAACCTTCTATCAGTTGTTGTTAAGTTTTGTAGTGTGCTGACCATATCTTAACAATTTGTTGTACTCATTTAGTATTTTGTATGAGGTTTTTGTTATTTTGTGGCTTTTGACATGTACAGCCTGTCTAGTGTCCTTTGGAACAGTGAGTTCATGTCTGTACGGGAACTCTTATCATTGTGTAACCAAACAGTCAACACAGGCATTGGACCATGATTTAGTGTTTAGGACAGGCATTTTCAGGGATCCCTCTGATTTAGGGTTATCAGAGGCCAAAGTCTGTTCTAATTCTTCGAAGTGCTTTGTGTTTAGTCAGCAAACCTGGAGTTGAGTAGGTATTCTAGGACAGGTGTGTCCCAGCATTGGTACGTTCAGCTTAAAAATAGCATCGACACATCTACGCATATCTCTGACCAACAAGTTCTTAATAACGTTTTGGGCTTGGCAAGGGTAACCACTCATGTCAAGTGTCTTTGTTCAAAGATGACGGTTGCGTGAAAGAATTCCTTCTGTCACAACAAATATAAAAGTATGCAATTTCCGCTCACATTGCTGACATGGGCGAAATTGTCCTTGTCACTCGGGTATTTGCTGTTAATTTTAGGCTCTGCTATCCTACTTGTCCAGTTCGGAGACACAACCCATTAGGTGTAGTTTAGGGTTAAAAAGACTTGGCAGCTCACTGTTTACTCATTTCGCTGTTTCTGGTCGTTCACAGTCTGTCATGTCGACCTACCAAGAGTTCATCCAACAGAACGAAGATCATGATGGAATACGTTGCAGTTGGAACCTCTGGCCTTCCAGCCGCCTGGAGGCCACACGACTAGTGGTTCCTGTTTCTTGCCTCTACACTCCCCTCAAAGAGAGACCGGACCTGCCTCCGGTCCAGTACGAGCCGGTACTGTGCAGCCGGGCCAACTGCAAAGCCGTACTCAACCCACTCTGGTAAGGACTGAATTGCATTTTCCAAAAAGCATTGAGTTCTGTTTGATTGTCAGTATAGATAAATATCATATCTGAATTATTGATTAATTGGTGGACTGGAATTGTAATGGATTTTGAGTAACAACTTAAATTAAACATTGGTGTCCTTTATCGTATTTCTGTTGCTGTCCATTTAAAAACACAGTAAAGCTCATGGTTTAGGGTTTTATGTGAACCAAATTGTGCCTGGATTGGATGTACTTTGGTGTTGACCTTTTATTTTAGGGTTAGTAAAATAGTGTTTTGCTTAAGCGGAGGTTTGGGCTTTTCCTCTAGTTTTCCACAGACTTGATAATTACATTATTTCAGAGCTTTTTAAATGTTAAAAGAATCCATAGAGTGTTATTTCCCAACATTGTCATTGTATTAATTGGATCGGGTTAGTTAAATGCTAATTGTTTCCTTTAACCACTGACTAAAGGAAGATAATTGTTTCTCTTCATGTGCTGATGACTTACATTAGAAAGGCTTCGTAATAGACAAGTTTAGCTCCTTTAATGCTTGATTTCCTTTTGTAGTCAAGTGGACTTCAGAGCTAAGATATGGGCCTGCAACTTCTGCTTCCAGAGGAACTCTGTGAGTATACATTACTGAAACTCATTTTCATTCCTGGCTTTGCTCCATGTGCTTCTCTTAACGTCAATCACACCTGTCACTGTGAGTAAATATTAATCTATTTCTTCACAGTTTCCTCCATCATACGCAGGCATTTCAGAAGTGAATCAGCCCGCAGAACTAATGCCTCAGTTCTCCACCATTGAGTACATAGTGCAGGTAAATTTACATTTACTCTGTACTGTACATAGGCATACTTTATTGTACAAACATATAGACTTACTACAACTCCTTTAGCTCACAGATAGCTGCTCGTCAAAAGCCACGTTGTCATTCTGTCATGAAACTAGGGTTCAGTGTGTTTTGACAAGTGACAGGATTTTTAAACAGTTTAAATAAATAGTTTTAAATAGTGTGTAATTTCTGTCATTATATACACTTCCATTCAAAAGAAGTAGTTGCCCGCCAAGGCTGCATTTATTTGAGTAGCAATACAGTAAAATAGTAATATTGTGAAATATTTGTTTTTTAATATATTAAAGATGAATTTTCAACATCATTACTCTAGTCTTCACTGTCACATGATCCTTCAGAAATCATTCTAATTAGCTGATTTGGTGATCAATAAACATTTCTTATTATTATACTTACTATTTTTTCAGTATGCTTTGATGAATAAACAGTTCAAAAGAACAGAATTTATTTGAAATACAAAATCTTTTGTAACATTATGAATGTCTTTACTGACACTTTTCATCAGTTTAATTCGTCCATGCTGAATAAAAGCATTTCTTTAAAAAAATCTAACTCCAAACTTTTAAACCATAATGTATATATTAATATTTAAAATGTATCAAAATAAATAAATGAATTAAATCAAAGTATTTATTAATGAATAACAGTATGTAATATTTTAATTACCATTATGTAACCTGATTTATTTCTCTTCAGCGTGGACCTCCAACTCCTCTCATCTTCCTGTATGTGGTGGATACATGTCTGGAGGAGGAAGACCTCCAGGCCCTGAAAGAATCCCTTCAGATGTCTCTGAGTCTCTTGCCGCCCAACGCCCTGGTGGGTCTCATCACCTTCGGCCGCATGATTCAGATCCATGAGCTCAGCTGCGAAGGTATGGCCAAGAGCTTCGTCTTCCGTGGCACAAAAGAGCTCACGCCCAAACAGATACAGGTCAGTGATCTATATTTATTGTGTTTGATTTACCATTCATAGAACTATAAAATAGCTTATAAGTGACTGTATAAAACCAGAATTGTCAGTGAAATTGATCAGGTGCGTCATCTGTTTGCAGGAGATGCTGGGACTGATGAAGCCAGCCACCTCTGGACAGCAAGGCAAACCACTGGCCCCTCATGACGCTGCTGCTTCCTGCAGGTATGAGATGGTCATCCGTCACTCTCCTTAGCATGCACATTAGAAGTGAACGGAAGCTTTTACATAAGAGTCTCAAGAAGATGATGTACATGAAGGCAGTTGTGCTCATTTTCTTTGCACCCGTTTTAGATTTTTGCAGCCTGTGCAAGCAGTAGACATGAACCTGACTGACCTTCTGGGGGAGTTGCAGAGAGACCCCTGGCCTGTTCCTCAGGGGAAAAGACCTCTCCGTTCCACGGGCATCGCCCTTTCTATTGCTATTGGCCTACTGGAGGTACAGGACATTATACATTTAAAAGCTCATCTTGTATGGCATAATAAAATCTCTGTATGACCGAAGAGAGATAGGAGAGAATGTAAAAAGATGGATGTATGGGTAAAACTCAGGAAACGCTCAGTTTTAGGTGATTATATTCAGAAATACATCCTTGGAGCTTTTGCACATCTTCACTGAACCAGTGTTCACTACACTGTGGGAGAGAATTCTTGCAGAGAGTTTTCTTTTCATTATAGTGAGTTCAAATTGGAAACGTGTCAGTAAAGCTGGCTGTGAGATTCAGAGTCCACTTCAGCTGTCATGTCATATCAGAAGAGTTGTACCTAGTACTTGACCCAGTCATTATTCTTTCATAACTCTAGAGATAAGAGTTAGACTACCTACTGCACTCTTGAGTTTGTTTGATTATAAGTCTAGCATGACTGATTTAACTTTAACATGCATTATTCCCTAGAAAAGACAAATAAAGTTCATAATATGTGGAAAAGGCTACCTAATATTGTTTAGACTGGAATACACACTGATAATTAACTAAATCCACTTAGATTCAGTTTTGAAAGCATTAAATAGAAATTTGACTTTCATTCATTGTCTCTCTCCGTCATTCTTTTTGTAGGGCACTTTCCCTAACACAGGGGCCCGTGTGATGCTGTTCACCGGTGGCCCCCCAACACAGGGGCCCGGCATGGTGGTGGGAGATGAACTGAAGACCCCCATCCGCTCCTGGCACGACATCCAGAAAGACAACGCTCGCCATCTGAAGAAGGCCACTAAGGTGATTACAGATTTTAGTTAAAGAATCTGGTGATGAACTCTTTATATTTATGGTTTTCCATAAACATTCTGTTCCTTTCCTGAAAAGCTAACTAAGAATTTCTGTTGACATCTATTTAGTATTACGAGGCTCTGGCAAACCGTGCAGCAGTAAACGGACACAGCGTTGACATCTACGCCTGTGCACTGGATCAGACGGGACTGCTGGAGATGAAATGTCTATCCAACCTCACAGGGTGAGCATTGATTGAAGATCACTGATCTTAATATATCTTACAGGCCATTTAATGTCCTCAATATCAACTGATTATTTCTTGTTTTGTTTTAGGGGCCACATTGTCATGGGCGATTCCTTCAACACGTCTCTGTTCAAGCAGACCTTCCAAAGAGTCTTCAGCAAAGACTACAATGGAGAGTTTCGCATGGCTTTTGGTGGTACTTTGGAAGTGAAGGTAACATATTTTGACTTAAACTACCGTTTAAAAGTTTGGGGAATGAAATTAATAGTTTTCTTCAGCAAGGCTGCATTAAATTGATCAAAAGTGACAGTAAAGATATTATAATGTTACAGAAGAATTCTTTATTCGTATTATTCATTTAAATAAATGTAAAAGCATTATAATAAGCAGGCACAACTCTTTTCAACAGAGATAATAAGAATGTTTCTTGAGCACCGTATCAAAATATTAGAATGATTTCTGTAGGATCATGTGACACTGGAGTAATAGCTGCTGAAAATTCAGCTTTGCATCACAAGAATGAAAACCGTTATTTAAAATTGCAATAGTATATTACAATAATACTGTTTTTACTGTATTTTTAATCACATAAATTATTTTAAAAAACCAAGACAAATCTTGCCAACCCCAAACGTTTGATCAGTAGTGTATGTTATGGCACTAACCCAGAGTCATATTCAACCCTCTAAACCTATTTGCCTTTTTCTTCTCAGACCTCAAGAGAGCTGAAGGTATCTGGTGCGATTGGGCCATGTGTGTCCCTCAACACCAAAGGACCCTGTGTTTCAGACAATGTAAGTCATAAGCATGTAACTTCCCATTTCATGCCAGCTTTTGCAATGGATTCCAATAGGACTTCACACATGTGTGCACATATATGTGAGAATGTCTTGTTTTTTTTGCAGGAAATGGGTGTCGGAGGAACATGTCAGTGGAAGATTTGTAGTCTCACGCCTGCCACCACCCTGGCCCTGTACTTTGAAGTAGTAAATCAGGTATATTGTTATATAATTATCTGTTCTTTAAGAGCTTATGTTTACACTGATGAATCAATAACACTGGTATGTTATACATTTTTGTAGCACAACGCCCCAGTTCCTCAGGGTGGAAGAGGAGCTATTCAGTTTGTTACGCAATACCAGCATTCAAATACACAGCGGCGGATCCGTGTCACCACCATAGCCAGGAAGTGAGTCTTAGTTTCAGCTTTCAACCTCATGAAATTCTGTTATGAGTACTAGATATTATATTGAAGTCAAGGTCTTGGGTTGTTTCTTTGATTCATAAGATTGTTCCATTTATTGATATCAACTTTGATGTTGTACAAAAAGGCCTCGGAGTTATCTAACGTCAACATATCTCATGCTTCCATGTGCTATTTGTGTTTGCTGTAGCTCAAAATAGATTTAGCTGCGTAAATATGCATAGCTCTTCGGTAGCTCAAATTCTTGAGTGTTCAGTTTGTGCGTCATTCGTTCTCGACAAACCGGTTCTTTCTATTGTCACACCTAGTTGGGCTGACGCACAGTCCCAGATCCAGCATATCGAATCATCATTTGATCAGGAGGCCTCTGCCGTTCTCATGGCCCGGCTCGGCGTTTTCAAGGCAGAGTCAGAGGAGGGGCCTGACGTTCTCCGCTGGTTAGACAGGCAGCTCATTCGCTTGGTGAGTATCACAGCTATTTAGAAGGAAATGTAGGTCAATGTCTCCATTCATAAGAGGCGATATAACAAATCATTGAACCATTATTATAATAATGAATGTAGAAGTTGCATCACACTCAGGTTTTGTGTTTGTTTCAGTGTCAGAAGTTTGGCCAGTTCAATAAAGATGATCCAAACTCCTTCAAATTGTCTGAATCTCTCTCGCTGTACCCACAGGTAAAACACAGACTCCTTCAGATAAACTCTGACATTTGTGATTGGACAGGGTCCTTAAAAGTCTTTAAAAAGTTCTTTAAACACGTTTTTATTGCATCATCAAAATCCAATATCGATCAACTCCTAATTTGCATTTATTGATATATTAGTACATGAATCAAAGTCAGTGCAGATGTATATATTGAATAAATCATGCCTTGAGTATTTTAAACTTGCAGTTACCCTGTTTTGCAATTGAATGTGTGCCTGTTTAAATACCTAAATGAGGTGCATGATTTAATTTAAGATTGTATTGTATGGACATAGAATATTGATTTGTGCAGTTCTTGATTTTAAAAACTCTGCACCTGTTTGAGAACATCACATTTCTAATATAAATTCTTGTCTATTTTCTTGACAGTTCATGTTCCACTTGAGGAGATCCCCATTCCTGCAGGTGTTCAATAACAGTCCGGATGAGTCATCCTACTACAGGCATCATTTTGTGCGTCAGGATCTGACACAGTCGCTCATAATGATACAGCCCATCCTCTACTCCTACTCTTTCTACGGGCCTCCAGAGGTGATTTGAAACCCATCCATGCAACATTATAGTGCAGAATGCTGTGTAATTCAGCTCGTACTCATCTCATATTTGTCTGGTTTTGTAGCCCGTTCTTCTGGACAGCAGCAGCATCCTTCCTGATCGCATTCTGTTGATGGACACCTTCTTCCAGTTGGTGATTTACCACGGAGAGGTACGAATCAAATGCTTGTATTATGTACAAATTCTTTAGATAATTATTTCTAAGGAAATCAAAATCTCTGTACAAAAAAACTGCGGTCTTGGATCTTACCCATGAAATATACTACATGCTACCTTAAAATCTGGCCAAAATGACATGTCTCAGAAGGACAGCTAATTTTGGAACAGCTTTCTTGTTGGAACTGCGCTTATGATGCCTACAAATGTTAACTAGGTAGGCTAGGGTGACCATACGTGCCATTTTCCCAGGACGCGTCCTGGCCAGGATTTGTTTTGGCTTTGTTTTCCTGTTTTCATGCTTGCTGAAGGTAATGATCGAAAAGTAGTTTGACCAATAACATGCAAGCATTGTACATAATGGACCAATCATGGCGTGTGAGAAGGTGGGATCTACGGTCAATAGGTGCTTGAAATGAATTCAGTGTTGACAGGAATGTCTGATCTCTAATATTATATCTTCTCCTTGTAGGAGTCCGGAGCACCAATCCTCACAGACGACGTCAGTCTGCAAGTTTTTATGGACCATCTCAAGAAACTGGCTGTTTCAAGTTCAGCATAAACTTTCTGCAGAAGATCAGTGAAGGATGTACATTTAGAGAGTTGAAGGAGAGAAAAAAGAATGAACTTTTGACATAATCTTCTGGAAAAACTTCCATATCCAACCTTGACACAACAAAGTGCATCTCAATCAAGTTTGTTTAGGAGGTCTTCCAGAGAAACGGTTATTTCTAATTCTCATCTACACAAGTAATTATGATTTGTCTGTCATGTTTGTTTGCTTATTTAATTAATTTAGTTTGGTTTGTGTCTAACAGAAAGTGTTACATGGTAAACTTCAATAACAGAACATCTGATTTCCCAGAGAGAGAATGTTTTCTGCCATCATGTTGCTTGTGTCGCTCTTTCCCAAGCATGTTTAGACTGAAATTCCTGTTAATGCTTATTTGCAAGAATCCTCTTGTCCGTTTGTTCTTTTTTGCGTTAGTTTTTGTTTTGCACAGATTGACAGTCTTCTCACTTTCATGAAGTGTACCTGTGATCTGCTCACTTGCGGGCAGAAACAGTATTTTATAGTCCTGTTCCTCCAGTCCTGTAATTAAATGAATGTTGTATGTAAAGAATTTAAATGTGACTTGTGACCCACATTCCAGTTTTATCTTGATCTACAATTATGAACTAATGCTATGCATAATATTTATAGTGAAAATATCTTGTAGGTTTAATTCATTTCAAAGGAAAGACGAAGTTGAGGACCTTGAATGTGCAAACTCGGGTCTTGATCTAAAATAAAACATTACAAATCAAAATGACTGAGGTATTTGTACCTATTTATATCAGGATTTTATGTCTGATGAAATGTGGAATCATTCAAATGAAAAAACAAACAAAAAAATGCTTTGTACTTATGCACATTATTATTATTTAACTCTAAAGTTCACAATATAATTTATTTGACTACCATAAAATTATTTTTGTAAATTGATTATAAAATATAATATGTGAACACCTTTGTGAGTAATTTAGTTTCTTTTTTTAACAATATCTATAATAATTTCATTCAATACATTTAATAACTAAAATGTTTATTATAGAACATAATTACAATAACATTAAATTAAAATTACAGGTGAGTAGATTGCTATTCTCAGAACCAGAAAAATAGGTTTTGTGAATTTTATATATATTTTTTTTTTGTCATTACATTTGTTGGAGCATAAGAAACAAATAGAGAAAAACATTTTTGAAAAAATATTTTATTCATATTTTATTCTATGTCCTTTGTAGAGGACGCCAGGACTAAGTTATATATATATAATAATAATGAAAAGGCATTTATAGGCAAAAACAATGTTTTCTTTTTTCATTCACCAATCAGTTTTTAGGTTTCAGGCTATTTTTAGCCAAACTAAGATATAACAGAATGATTTGATATACTACTGTACTTTATGACAAAAAGTCCTATTTTGATTTGAAACCCCATAACGTTTTCCTGAGATGTTGATTTATGACAAACAATTTGAAAATTAATCAGACTTAAATGTCTCATTACAAAATATTATCATATTTCCATAAGGGTGTTAAATTTGATCATTCTGTCAATATCAGTCATATTTAAAGACCAAGTAGAGGGAGTGTTTATGATCAAACCTCCAAACATTTGACGAATGTAAGTAAGATATTAATTTTACAGTGTAAACAGCTTTAGAGATTATTATGGGAGTTTTTGAGAGTGCTTGAATTCGCTGGACTGAAGAAAAAATTGTTCTTTGATAGTGTAAACGTTCTTTGCTCTCTTTTTGTACAATGAAAGTGTTATAGGCTAATTAGTCACTTACAATGTTTTTATTAACTTCACATTAAATACAAAGTCAGTCGTATTAAATATATTTAAT